CCTGACGGAGCCCTGGGCCCCGGGAGCTGCCAGCCCAGGCCGGGTGCCGTCAGCGGGCCTTAGGGAAGACCAATGAATCCTCTCACCTACGACATATGGTTTTGCTGTGTAGTTTGCTGCTGTTGCTGCTGCTGAATGAGCAACTGCTGCTGCTGCCGGCGCCGGGCTGTTCTCAGTTTCTCGAAGCGAGCCTCCATCTCCTCCAGCACCTTGGGAGTGTAGCGTACCACCAGCTTGACACTGTCCTTAGCCGCCTTCAGCAGCTCCACCGCCTTCTCATGGTGCTCTCCTTCCACGCTCTGGGAGCAGGGAGAACAGATTTAATAACGAAAACACTGCTTTGATCTACAGCTCTGTCCTCTTTTTCGTACGGAAAGGCTGTCGGGGTTTTAGGAAGTTTCCACACCTTACATTTTTCAAGGGACCATTAAGGGAAAGTGTTGAGTGAAGTAAGATTCATGCACTGCTGGGAATGTATTCGTTTTCATATTTTAAATAACTCAAATCTCGTTTAGGTCGCATTACAGACCTGATTTCTGATCTGTGTGAAAAGGAGGGGAAATACTCAACAAGCTTCATGCAAACAAAAATAATGTTTAAAAACCCCAGACCTGGGAGTAAAAACCCAAACAGTCTCCTTGCAAGGTACAAAACGAAATATTGAAATGTTGGTATGAAATGAAGAAATTGCCAGTTTGAAATCGCGCTTCCTTTCTTTCGCCCAGGCCCTGTCTGGATCCCGTGGGGAGAGACGCGGGGTGACGAGGCAGTCACTGAGCTGCCCGCGAAGGAGCAAGCCCGCTGCTCCCAGGGACAAGCCGCGTCTTGGAGAGTTAATGGCATTGCTCACATGCTCAGCATTTATGTGACACGGGTCCTCCACTGGAAATAAACTAGTCTTTATGTGGTTCTTTGTAAGCAATCAAACACTAACAACTGAAACATTGCGAGTTCTTGCTGAAGGAATATGTATTTTCCCTCCCCTTCTCGAAAATGGTTTACAGTAAGATGATACGTGCTGTGAAATCAGAAGTATTCCCAAAGGGGCTCGAGCTCTGATTTCTATGCTAACATTGTTTGAAACGGTACATTTCCAAAAGGGGGAGGTGACTCGGCTGTGAAAAGAGTATTTAATTTCTATCATTAAGTGGACTGACTGGAGTGCCTTTCAGGCATGTGGATTGTTCCACGCCTTAAGAGAAAGCGAGAAATGTTCTAATGGTGTATGATTGCCCATGTGTGCTGTACGACATATTCCAACAAACAAAAGTATTTCTGCACAGAAGAAAAAAGATCGCACAACTGAGACCTTCACATGGATTTAGACCATTTAAAAAATAAGTAATTTTCTTCCCACATACAATAAATCAAAGTTTTACTACATGCTGTGTTTTAAAACTCTTATGTATACCATGCTGTTTAAAATGAAACTATACCCATAGGCTTCCAAAGAGAAGCAACAGCATTCAAAATATTTGAAGTTTGATTCATGCTAAAAGAATAACTTAGCATCATTATAGCAACTGTCAGAAGAAAATTCTTTCCATTTTAATTTCTCCTATTTGACTGAGTAGCATTGTGCAAGAACAGTGAATAAGAATTAATTCTGCCATGGCACACTATGAGCTAGAAATAGTGATTTAAAATTTTCAAAAAGCAGACACTATACACTTCTACATAAATAATATAAACAACACAATTCAAGCTTATTGCCTTGCTGTTTATCTTTATTCTCTTGTTAAATATCCTTCAACATATTAACACAAATAATTATTTCATGTCTGGGTCAACTAACTAGACTCAGGAGTTTCTACAGAAATGTTAAGATGCTTCAAAAATATAAAGGCAACTTAGAGAAATAATGAATGTCATTTCAGGTGCTGAAATTATTACCAGAAACAGAGAAAACCTTGAAGTAAACAGACATTTGATTGTTGAAATAAATGACTTCATGTTTTTGAACTGTATGTTCACAAAATTCCTTCTATTAAAGATCTTCAAGAAAATTCATGATCTGTGATAACCAGATTTGCTAGAAATTGTGATTGGGATAAATCTGCTGAACAAGCACTGCTACCCAGAAGTAATTTGGAGAGAAAAGAGTTTATTTACAGATATTTGAAAACGAGAAAACTGTCGCTGCATCAGAAACAGTGAATGATTCTAGTGCTCCACAGAGAGCTAAAATAAAAAGCTATAGATGCATGGGGTGTTTTGTGAAATTGCTTCAACCAGCCAACCACAGATACAAATGAAAACCTCTTCCCCATGTCCCCTACCCCACAACTGCTCAGTGTTAAAGAGGTGATGATAACTAACACATACTAGCTATCTTTTATAACTCATTGCTTTGTGACTGGCTTTGATATTGGCTTTTGTAAACACAGTTCTCACCTTCAAAGGAACTGTATAAAAGTTGGCAGTGTTTTATATTTCATTTTTCGCTTGTGAATCATGGTCAGTACGACGTGGCACGGACATTCAGAGGAAATGACAGTGTACTCAGTGTTGTTGTGATCAGTTTTGCTGTGGAACAGTATGAACTTAGAATAGGCTATGAATAAAAATTGTAAGCTCTCAAGCTACATGAAGCAGCTAAAATATTCATTTGCTTTCAAAGAGTTGGATGGTTCTAACTGACATCAACAAGCAATTGTGATTGTATCTGTTCTGCAGGGGAATAACAAGATGGTGCACTTTAATACTTTATACAACTTAGAAAGCTGTATTTAATTCATGATTGCCTATTTTCTTTCCCATTTGCCTCCAGCCTTTTTCTTCCAGTTTACAGTCAGTATTTTCTAATTAGAAACAAAGGGTTTGACTTTGTTGCTATCCAGGTCAATGGAAAACTCCATTACTTGAATAGTAATGATACAGAATAAAGCCTAAAGCTCTGAACCATAACCAAAGAGGCAGAAAATAACAAAGGCAAAGTAAAAGATAGTGCTGCTAAATACGAATCCTACTCTCCAAACATACCTAACTCAAGTCTTCACAACTACAGTTTTCAGCTGCTATTACTATGATTGCTAGACTTGCTCTTAATGTCTTCATTGATGCTTCCACTCGTATTTCCTAGGCGTTACAAATGCTTCACCTGCGTGGCAGTGGCTACACAACTTCCACAGCAGAGCCCCTTGGAGTATGGAAAAGAGCTTATACCAGCACAGGACGTTGTTTTGCTGTTTGAATTCTACCGCCTCTGCAAACCTTCAAGGCTGTGCTGGCGAAGGAATCCTGCTGGTATCAGTCATGCCTGTGCAAGGGATTTTGTTGACTGGATTACACTGGCTGGGGACATTGCGAGGATCTGACACTCATGTTATTTTAGAACTGCCTACCAAACATGGGATTTAACAAATTAGTTTTGGAATGTATAGCTTTATTTAACATGTAATTTTTGATTACATATATTTATATATACTTAGGTCTGTATTTCCCTTACTGCATTGGCAGACTGCATCAAAAAAATGGATGCAAAATACTGCAGAGACAAGAACAGCTGAAAGAACTGCAGATATGGTGTGTGGAAACACCATCCGTTACTGTATCCAGGCTCACACACTTGTCATAAATATAAAAGAAAAGTATATATATAAAAAAAATCCCACTCTCTTGTAAACAAAAAAAAGAATCTGATTGTTACCTGAGAAGAGTATTTTTATTAGATATCTGTAAGCAAATGCTTCGGTGAGAAATTAGCTGTTATAAACCTGTTTTGTATCCCCTTCTGTATCTGACTCACACCAGGTATCTGACAAATGCAGAACCTTTGCCAGATACGAACAGCCACCAGCAAGTGCCTTTGCTGAGCCATCTGCTGGGCTTACTGCTTTCAATTTCCTTTACTTTTAGGGGGTGTGGGACAAAGTATGTAACAAAACCCCCAGCATAGTGAAAAAACACTTCTTTAACACCCGGTGAAACAGCTCAAGGAACAGTCGTCCCAGTCATGCTGGGACAACAAATCTGGATTCTGAACACACAGCTCTAATTTTATGTTGATAATTATAAAGTTGGATAACCCCCAAGTTTTGAGCACAAACAAGTTACAGATATTTCAGTTTCATTTCATGTTCCGCTGCTGAGCCTTCTGTTGTATTGTACATACTGTATATTATTTGCTTTTCTCCAGCTAAATTGAGAGAAGCACAGAGTGAACCAGTCCCAGTGAACAATATTAAATTTAGACCTTTTTCCTCCTGTCTCAAGCTGTCTGCAAGCAAATTACCGCTTCTGTAATTTTTGCCATTTTATGAATTATATTGTATGGGCTTAATTCAGCCCAAGACTAGTATATGAACAGTTGCTCCTAGGCATTATTTTAAGTATGCAACTGCAATTCAAACTTTAATTTCTGTTGTTTAGACTCTGAACACAAAAATATTTCTGTTGCATCTTGGAATCAGCTTTCTCATGTGCTGTGCCTACATGCAAATGCGAATTTTATATTGTGTTTTTTTTGCTACATTAGGTTAATATACATTCTAGAGCACATTCATGAAAGTTTTTATACAGTGTCATGAAATAGAGGTGACAACAGTCAAATTCAGTGTATCTTGACATCTGAAGGTTCACCACGTTCCTCCCCTGTATTTGCCTAGACGCTGTTGACAGTAAAAGGATTTTTCAAGAACCATCCAACGATTAGCGAATGTAAACTCTTATCATTTGTTTTTTTGTTCACATGTTGAAAGAAGTGCTGAACACCAGCAAAATTATTTGATCTACTTCCAATCAGTGAAGTTCAGGTAATTTATTTATTAAAAGTTCAGTTGATTTCTTTTTCCCTGAGACTAAATAACTTTTTCAGTGGGTGTTCTTTTTTTGTTTTGTATCTTTTCTTTCTCACTGTGTACATGGGCAAGTAAGCTTCCAGAGCTATTATTTCTCTTTTGAGAACATGATGGTTGACAGAAGTACTAAAAAGTCTGTCTGAAGTGTTGCACTGATATTTTGTTTCAAGAGAAACGGAATAGCTATTGTTGAGAGAAACACATTACAACATGAAAGCATGCAGAAAACAGCATTTTCTTCATTCTTTATGGGCTTGCAGCAAAGAGGAAATTTAAGTTGGAAAGTCTTATATTTATGACTGGATTCAGAAACTGCTCCTACGTGCCTTTGGTGTATTTAAAGATGAGGTTTAGATGCAGGTTTTGCATGAAAAAGGATTATGTTTTCAGTAAGAGAAGTGTAGGGTTATATGAATGAGTATGCTTACCCTTTCAGTACCTTACACTCCCTTGTAAAGGGGAGCAAAATGCAAAATGAAAGGCAGAATTTGACCCATATCATGTATTCAGAGCCTTATTTTTCCTCTTTATTCCAAGAGCCCTTTTATTTTTACCTCCATACCGACATTCAAAGTGAACTACTACAAAACACTCCACCCTGAAGTATTGACTTACACGAAAAATGACTGCGTAAAAAATCTACCTTTTTACTGAAAATACGTGCTCTCTGTATGTGTTTGTTTGTACAGCTGATTTCTCTGACAAAGGTATCACAGCTGGGTCAATGTCACTGAAAGCAAGCTGGAATGTAACTTCCATTGCAAATCAGCACCAAATGTGCTTATCAAATTTCTTTTAAGTGTTTAAATGCTTTGAAGGTCACAAGGCTGCACAAGTGCCACTGAGGCATCACTGTGCTTGGAAAGGGCTGTGTGCCTCAGAGGCTATGAAGTGCAAGAATGGCAAAGCCTGTTATTACACTTTTACTGCAAAAGGCATTTGCAGAATTATCAATTAAGAAGGACACAGCTTCCTTGTAAATTAAGCATGTGGTGTGGATTTAAAATGAAGCTCTTCAAACGCTCTCCACTACAACAGAAATTGTAGTGGCACAAAGTTGTCGATGCAGCTTCGCCTCACTGCATCACAAATGCGCACTGAAGGTCTCTCACAGAGCTAATTCTTTTTGTTTCATATGGCTGCATTTTAAATCATGGTATTAGAACAGCTGTGAAAAATGAAAATCCAGATGAAAATGAAAACTCTAATATATTTCCACATACCACTCCATTAACTGAAAGCAGCTGGTCCCCCCGTTTGAGCCCTCCATGCCTTTCTGCCACTCCTCCGGGAATGATGCGAGAAATATAAATAGGTGAATTTTGTTCTTTTCCTCCCATGACATTAAAGCCCAGGCCTTCATCAGTCTTTGGCAGCTCCACCACTCGTGGGTGTGAATGGCCTTCGCTTGCAGCAAAAGCAGCAACTGTTGCCTAGAAGAAAAAACCGGAGTGATTTGGCTGTGTAGGGAGAACACTGATATACACTCTGTTGTTCATTTGCAGGAAGAACTCACTCCTGTGAAAACATTTCAGTATCTTATTCTGGCTTTTTCTGATTGTCTGAAAGCGTTTTAAAAAAAACTAAATTCCATGCCAATGTGTTTTGAAACAAAGTAATAAGCAGAGGAACAGAGAGTTTAGGTGACTTGTCAAAGGTAACGCAGAAAGTTAGCGGCAGAGCCAGAAGTAGGCACAGGGAAGCCTGACTGCATGGTGGTGAACACTGCTGATCACTGGTGTGTTTCATCTTTGCCTTTTCACAGGGAGAAAATTTAATACCGTAGGATAAGACAACGCAATCTCTGCTGTGTTCCTAGTTGAAACAAAGTGGATGAACTGAATGGTTAACTCTCTGCTCTGCTTTCAGAGGTACGGAATGATTTATTTTATTCTTTGATCACAGAAAAAATCCTAAAAGAATATTCTTCTTTTAAAAATTTAAATTTATAATCATTATGAAATCTTGCAAACTAAATAAGTCCTGGAACAGGAATATGAGTTTTTAGAATACACTTGGATCAAAATTTTTATTGAAAAATTAAATATTAAGACAACGGGTTTATAAATCAATTAGAAAAATTCTAGACCGTTAATCTTACTCTGGCAAAAAACGCCATGTAACAAATTATAAAGCTTGCATCCAGAAAAGTATTACATCTTATACTTCATTTTTCACTACAAGTATTTTCTACTTATAGATGTCAATAAATCATTACATAAACATTAAGAAAATCCTTTATCCTTTTCAACGTGAGTTTGTAGTCCAAACTGCTCGAACAATTCTGCATTAAGCTAATGTTTTTTAAGCATCCTAATAATGCTTATGCTTAATAGAAGCTAGTGGATGATGTGACACAATGGATCATTTTGTTACATGTTTTTGCACATGCAGACCTTGTCATCATGCATACATTTTATGTCAGACATGAATGCACTAGGAGAATGCAATGCAGACAGCCCAGAAATAACCAGGAAATACTGCGATATTGAAACATTGCTCTGTAACCCTGCTGTTCTATATGAATAAGAAATGAGAATGGCAAACACTAATTGGATTTCTCCCCATTTACTACACAACATAGCAATAGTTTCTATGTTTTCCTGCAGTGTAGACAAATCAGGATCTCATATATACATTTCCCTATATAGTAGCATAGACCTTACTAATTTACATTGGCCATTAACTTTCAATTAGAAGAAGGTGAAAATCAGAACAGCCTACAGAAAGGAACGTTCTACTTATTAAGGACAATACACTGCAATTTAGTGCGTATTAGGTTATTTGCTGGCTACTGTCCAGCTTGCTTCCCTAAAATACTGCAGAAACAATTTTGTAACACACTCCCAAACTTCATCTTCTGATACAGCTTTAAATGAAAATCTCTTAACACAAATACATAATGGTAAGATCTTCCATTAAGATTTCAGGGAGTTTTGTTACTAACTTCACAGCAGTGGGCCCATAAAGAAATAGCGCTAAAAATATATATATATGTGGCTTTTGCAGGTTTACCTGTTTTGCATAGTATCCGCTATACCACCCAGAAGATAGCGTTGAGTACAAAATGATAATGGGAAAAAGAAAGCCATGGTGGACCTCTCTGTTTAGAAGCATCTATCTTTGTGCATGTTATGAGAACACAGAGCATATTTCATACTGGCACATAGAATGGGTTCTTTCATGGTTGTGTGAATTCCTTTAGAAAATTATAATCTTAGTAGTAGCAGTCATGTAGCTGTCATGGTCTAAGGATACAAGAAAGGCAGCTCCACATGGACAAAGAGACAATATGCTTTATTAAAACAGATAATGCATCAGAAAAAAATGGGCTTGCATTTGGCTGTGGAGTCTCTTGATCAGGCCATTTTTGTCACTGTTCATCCTTACCACTTGCTCAGTACCTACAGTTTCCATTAGTTAAAGTGGAATTTTGACTGTTTAGTTTCTATCTTCCAAATCATTGTGTCCTCTCTAGATGAGCTGTATGGGAAAATAGTCCATTAAAATATTGATTGTTGCAGGCAGACTTCTACAGAACGAACCAGTAGATTTGCTTTTGCAAAGCAACTTTTCAAAAAGCATCAATTTCCATAAAATCATTCTCTTTTCTTAAGCTACAGAAGCAGCATAAAGGTTGAAATTTTCCATTATGATTGTTACCTGGGAAGTAGCACTGGTTCTAGACTCTGGGCTGCCACTGATGTCTAAATTTTCTTACAGTGTACACACGAATACCTGAAACACACACGCGCACAGTCAATTACTAGGTCACTTTGGTAACACTTATTTCAACAGTTGCACGCATCCTACCTTTGCAGTGGCCCTGGCTCGGAATTCGGGGCAGCCATTAACTGTTATGGTTTCATGCATGTATTGATACACCTAAAATGTTCATGAAAATAAAATGAAATTAATTATAGAAGCAAAACAAGGACTTTATATTAACCCAGACAGGACAGTCCCTTTTCCTCACAAGACTACCTTTCATTAACGCTGTATTCATGCACCACATAGTTGAGCGTCTGCTAAACTGGTGCATGCTTAGGTTTATAGAAAATATCAATCTGTGTTTCTCATGACACTTTGCCAACTTAACTGTGCATCTTCCAACATGATTCCCTTCCCACCTCTAGCGCATCATTTCCCAAAGCCAAGACAGTTAGGTCTATGTTATAGATTGATTTGCAGGCAGATGATCTGAACTGGTTTGAGTGGTGTCTTAGCCTCCACCGATGGATTCTTTGTTCTTTGAACTTTCCTGTGAACTAAAGACTTAGGAGGCTGATTTAAAAAAAAAAAAAATACTAAGTTGCTCAGCATACAGATGCTGAAGAATGGAAGTGGAAATTAAATTTTGGAGGAAGGTCAAAGTATTGGTTTCCATCACCCATAGCTAGGAATGGGGAAAAGGGCTGGCAGTCTGGTAGGTCAGACATGGACAATGGGTAAGATCATCCCTGGAACTGTATGGTTACATAAATGGCATAACATCACCACTGCCAATATGTACAACTTTCTGTCTGTTCGTTTTTCTGGTATACACTCCTGGCCCCACTCTTCCTTTTAAAAATCTTCAGTAAGGAGACAGGAAAACATGCTTTCACATTGCTATTGTTCTCTAGATTGTGAGGCTCTTGGATGAAAAATATCAAAAACTGCATTAATAATAACCAGTTATTTTGAAATCAACCTTAAAAATTAAAAATATTTATGTTTAATGTATGGACATTTTTTAAACACAAATGTGAATGCAAATAAAAAAAATCTTTTATTTAATTGTTTTATAAAACCACCAAACTTAAAAAAATGTTCCTGTACGCCACTGATTTACTCTGGGCATTTTCTTGACCTACTTCATAACAAATTTTGTCTTTTCATGCGCTTTATGTCTCAGATTGCATTCCCCAGAGAGAATCTTTGCTGGTAAAGTACGTTAGCTTTCACAGCAATCTCTTTCTTAGGGTCCTTGAGGACTGCAGATTCAATCGTATTTTC